AAGTGCAGATCAACAAACAGACTCTTAGCTACCAGAGGAGATAGGTAAAAACCACAAAATGATGCAAAAAAATAACCTGAACTGCATCTTGAGCATTGAAATATGTAGTGATACAAAGCTGGAATACTGTCATTCACAAGACAAAATACTTCTGTAAGTACCAAAGTGTCCCAGGTAGCAGAGAGAGGAAACTGAACCTCTGTCATATTGGTGCAGCAGCTTGCCCTGAGCTGTGAGCTGACACTGTGAACAGCTACACACCCCGGGAGTGCAGGAAGCAGGGCCACGGCCAGATTCCAGAGGCCAAACCGCTGCCTTGGGTACTTAGGCAGTATAAAGCAGGGCCATTTTGCAGAAGTACTTAACCACTTTATACACTGGAATTCTCTTAGACCTGTTAATGAACTGTGCAAGCAAACAGTGAGGCTGAACAGAATAAAGCCAAGCTCCACCATGCAGTTACCAGAGCTCCCTGCTGTGGTGAGGATGTGACTTGAGCTCAACTCTGACTAACAAAGACTACTTTGGTTGTCCATGCAATATTGCACTTCTTGACAGATCTAGCCTCTGAAACTACGTGAAACAGCACCTGAAAACATTCCTCAGTCAGCTCAGAACAATTCATATATTTGTAGTTCTCCTCAAACCAGATACTTCCAAACATCCCTACTCACACACCAGCCCTGCAGCACTCCCTCCCTGAAATCCCATCACCTTGCTCAGCTGGCAGGTTTAAGGAGCAGACTCTAATGTAACAGGCCTACCTACTCTATGGAATAGCTGATGTTTAATACTTTTTCAAGTAAATTATTCTTGTTCAAATAAATAATTTTTGTTTCAAATAAAACAAACTGTGTATCAGTAGTTAACATATTTTGCAACATTCATGAAAGTATGAAAAAATCACAGCATATTTCTTACAGTCTGTACTACAGCTTTGGTTTTATTTTGAAGTGTCAGACTGTGCCACTGGAAGCAGACATTCCCTCTGTGGTATTTGTACGCTGCGATGCAACAGACACTCAACTTGCCAGGGTCTCTCAGCAGAACCCCGTTAAGACAAGAAGTAAGTTTATATTTTTTAAGAAAGCTACAGCAAAACTTGATACAGGATGCCTTTAATTAATCAACTACAAACTGCTCAAAAGGAGTTTTACTCCAAACTGGTAGTTGGCTGGATTTCTTTTTTCGTTTTGGCTGCATACAGTGACCCACTCTGCTCCTGCCAGACCATGACATGGCTTGTCAGCATGACCTGTCACCTCTGGGCTTTCCAGGGCCCTCGGTGGTTAATGCCCAGGGCCGAAGCCCCCTCTGCTGGGTGCTCAGTGTCCTCTGACTGACCATGTAACACCCTGCTCTGCTACCCATCAACATGGCCCATCTTCCAGTCTGAAACCTTGACTGACTTGACTGATCTTTATTCATTTGAGGAAGATTATGATGACAAGTCAAATACCACTATTTGAGGCAGGCAGGAAACACTGCTTGTACTGAAAGATTTCCATGGGGGTCTCCATCTCATTCGTGAAGTGACAGAGGTCTTCTGAATTGTGACCTGCTCTGAAAAGCTGATCTCCAGACAGCTGCCCTCTCCTCCAGCTTTTGGTCCTGCCTCTTATTTACACATGATATATGCATTGCACACAGGTTTTTAAACGTGTGTGTTTCTTAAATCTCTGCAAAATCTCACAAACTTTCTTATACGTAAATTTGCCTTGTTGTCTATCAAATCACTATCACAACCCTCAGAAAGTTTTTCTTTGCAGATAATGTGATATGGCTGTTCTTTCTCTTTTGCAGGTGAGCTTGTTGAGAGACAGGTAGGCATACCATGCAACTTCTCCTAAATTCAGCAGCAGATGTAGGAGCAAGTGAATCCAGAAATCCTTCTAGGTCCCTCTTCCATTGTCTGAACTGTGCAAAACACAGCATTTGGCAACACAGTCCTTAGAGTTTAGAATACACAATTTTGTAGGAAAGTATCCCAACACAGTATTGACTTATAAGTGCAAACCAATATTGGGTGTATACTGAAGAAGAATCAGGTGTAAGTGAGAAAACTGGGAAACACAAATGAGTTAAAAAAGATTTCAGACTTATTCCTGCAAGTAGGACCACATATAAAAATCAGATCAGAGTCTCACTGACTTTGACAGCTCCCATACTGGACCAACAGGCACTTACAACCAAAGCAGCAACACATTTATCTCCTGTTGTTACTTCCCTTCTGTGACTGATATATTCTTGCATTTAACCAAGATATTTCCATGACGTTTTTCAGTGTTTCAGAATAATCTCCTAAGTCTCTATCTTCCAAAGAAATCTGTGAGAACTTCTTGAGCTTCAAGAAACTTGTTACTACACATTTTAGGAAAAACCAGCTCAGAAGTTGCCCTTGGACAAGGATGTAAAATACTGGCATACAAAACCTGATTTGTTTAACTACTGCGTAATATAAATGACCAATTTTGAGAAATATGCATTTTAAAAACAAGGCAGTGCACGTAGAGGTAAACATTAGCTCAAGTCTTGCATAACTGATACTGCAATACCCTCTTGTGGTCAAATAAAAATGTTTTGTCCAAACATCTGAACTTTTTCCTCCATAAAATGCCTCTCTAGACATCTTTCCCTTTGACTCAAAGGAAATTACTCACATATTTTTCACAGATGAATTTGTACTGCATATCATCACTTGTCTGGAAAAACCAAAAGACTAAGCTCAGTCAGGTTCTTCCTCAGAATAATGGGCACTGACACTGCTTGTCAAATTAATTAATACAAAACAAACTTCTAAGCAAAGGCACCATCTTCAACAGTGACACTCATGACTTTTTTCAAGTTTCATGTCCCCAACCAGAAAGAAATCAAGATGCTGTAATCAATTTGCATAGATACATATGGCATGAAGCCATAATAAGTATCAACCTATTGTACTATGGGATGAAAAGAAGTTCCCAGTAAATCAGTTGAACCAATTCAAATGAACAAATAAAATGCTAAACTGGAAGATGGTAAAAAGAGGGGAAACAGTTCAGTATCTGCAGCATGCCTGCTGAACTATTAATCTAGTAAATGGCCTAAATGGGATACTAGTATGTACAGTAGAGAATCTAGAGTAACACCCAGAAATGCCATCCTTGCACTCACCTTGATGTACGTTGGTGGTGCACAACTACTCCCTTAACGACTTTCAGTAAGATGTTCTGAGAAGAACTTTGCAGCCCCACATCTGCATCAAACCCAGGATAGTTACAACTCCTGCAGCTTTGGAACCACCACCCAATGGCACAGACCTTAAACACCTACTTGCAATCTTTCCATCCAGTGGCTGCATTTGGAGGCTGTACTCAGCTCAACAACCATTTTTAGCTTATTGCTGGTTAATTTGCAGAAATTGACCTGAAGGAAGGATCAGAATTAAAATAACACAGGAACTTTGTACAGAAGAATTAAAGAGCATTCCATGCACAGGAACAGACTTTCCATCGGGATCTTTTCCTGATCTGATCAGGAGATAAAACCCCATGCACACTGATTAACACATCAGGTCTTCCAAATGTACCTCAGTTTCCTTTTAAAGCAATAACATGCTGCTAAAACACTATTCTCCAACCAGCTGCACACACTCCAACTTGGAGAGGACCCTGGAACAAATGCAGCAGGATAAGCAGATTCCACAAGAGGAACAGAGACAACTATAAGGCCAGGTTAGCAAACACTTAATTTCTTCAGTTCATGATAACAATATGTGGGTACATGACTTTTTGCTTTTTGGCAGAAAGAGATGAAAAACACTATTGAGGTTTCAATTATCTCAGAAAAAACAGCAAACAAACAAAAAGTCCACTAAAATTTAATTCAAACCCAAAGTAAATATTGGGGTTTGTGGTGGAGTTTACCTCTTTTTATGTTATATTATCGTAATCTTCAAATTGTGAATAATTTTTCCAAATATAGAAGTATTTCTTGCTCAAACGTCTCATGAAGTGCTTGGATTGTTGTATAGTTGTAACTATTTTTAAAGAAATTATCTGCCAAATTCAGTATATGTTTCCCAATACTGCAAGCAAATAAGTTTGTCCAAAAAACCCTAAAGAAGCAGATTCAAAGTTCATTAGCATTTACCAGAAGATGAAGCAAGAGATTAGAATTCATCTGAAGCTAAGCCACACTACTCAGAAACAAGTCAGCCAAGAATTTCAGAGGAAATTTATACTTAAAACACTCTATTTTCCCGCAAGGTCACAAATACTTGAGGAAGTGAGTTCATGCCACAAAAGCCCAACAGGCTGACTGTAAAGACAAACACTGACATTTTGTATACTGTTTTGAAAATTCTCACTTTGTATACTAATGACCCTTTAAAGTTACTTAAAAATTGCTTCTCATAGTTGCTTAATACTTTCAGCAGAAATATATAAGTGCTTAAAAAGGGCTTTTGATGATCTCTGACTGCTCTTTTTTTAAATTTGAAAATAAGGAGCTTTCAGCACAGATTCGTTGAAACACTTTATTTTAAACAAATAGCTCTGCCCCAAATAGAGTTCAAGGCCCTAGCAGCTGTTCCACTGGGTCTCTGCTCCTTTTCTGATGTATATTCACAAGTTAGACTTGTTTCCAATAGAGACAGTAAACACGCCAGGGAAACCAGCAACTTTCAGAAGCTTTTGCCTCTGCTACATAACCACAACAAAAGTCTTCCTGACATACTCAGCAGCAATCTCCTCTGCACCCTTTGCTACTACACCAGACTTTATTGTTCTAAGGATTTTGAATAGAGGCTGATCTCAGCTACAGTAGCAGTAATCACCTTGTAAGCTGAGAGTTTGCTGGTTACAGCTGGAGATCCCACAGCTTCCAATAAGAGTAGTTTCTTACAAAATTGCTGTTACCATGAAAACCCCCTAAGTGTTCAAGCAATGATGCAACATAAAGCAGTAGGAAAGAAACATTAAATAAGAGGGAAGTAAACCAGTTCTGAGCACTGCCTGTCAATGCTGCTGTGCACATTTGTTTTCTGAAAGCACTCCAAAGCAGCAGCTGAAAGAAAATGTTAGGAGAGAAGAGGCTTTGAAAGCGCGAACAAGAGCAGGTTTAACTTTCTGAACAGTCACAATATACCAAACAGTGCTGGGCATATGGTAAGTCTCAAAAGGGACAAGCTGGGAAAGGGTTCTGGATTCAGGAGAAATACCTTGGTTAGGTCTTGGCAACCAGCAACCACACCCCTGGGGCAACCAGTCCCAGATCCATCTGTGTCTCAGCAGCACCCAACCAAACAGACCTGCCACCGCACAACCGGCTACTCAGGCCTGGGCAGATGAGCAGGCAGCACTGCAGCCAGACCAGGTCCAACAGGGTAAGATCTGGAGAGAGTCTGTTGAGGCCAAACAGAGAGGAAGGCAAATCCGGTAAATCAGTTGTTCCAGTTCATGCCTCTTGACAATGGCACAGATGCTCCCTGACAGCATTAGGACTTGATCCAAAGCCAACACTATCAAATGAAATTTTCTTCTGTAGGGACTTTGGATCNCGTCTTGACAATGGCACAGATGCTCCCTGACAGCATTAGGACTTGATCCAAAGCCAACACTATCAAATGAAATTTTCTTCTGTAGGGACTTTGGATCAGATCCTAATACCTTCCTTTCGAGGGCTACATTATCTCTGTTTTCTTTCACTGGACAAAATCTGTGCTAATATCTCCTGGCATGCTGAGCTTAAGCTGAAAAGAGATGCAAAGAACTGCATGCTAAGTATCTTTTAGCTTTTTAATGATTCCCACAAAGAAGATATAAAAGTGCCAAGCTTTATAATTTATTGCAGACATACTGGTATTATCACCTCTTCTCATACTCTTGGAAATGGCTGAAATGGAAGCTGAACAGAGTGTTCTGCCCAAATATGATTTGTATCCCCAATCTGTAAATCTACTGAATTTGCCCCATTGTTGTAGTCTTTCAGCAGACTGAGCTGCACACATACAACCTAAGCTTTGACTGTACATAGACCAGTGACACAAAGGAACCTGAAATTAAGATCCTCTCTGTCTCTGCCACGTAACTTGAGTAAGTGTTTAAGTTCATATTTCATTGCACAGCATGAGTATGCCTATCAGAAGAATATCCTTGGTAAAATTAAAATCAGCTCCATTTCCAACTGTGTCCTACCCAAGCTAAAGGGATGAAAAAGAACATCACTCTCAGTATTTTTTAAAATGGGAAAAGAAACCATCTGAAAACTTTTGCACTCCTCAGCCTTCTGGAGGAGATACAGATCACAGCTCCGATTTCCCCAGACACATTTGCACTCTCGTCTGGCTCCATTTACCTGAGGGACAGGTTGATGCCAGGACTCTGACTCATGCAAAGCCAGGGCCATGATGCCAATGTTATTCTCTCCCAGCTGTGCTGGCAAACTCAGACTCCTGCTCAACAAGCCCAGCATGTTCCACACCCATTCCTTAGCTAAGGCAGCAGGAGGGACTCTGTGCCTGTCCCTGGGGTTCATGGTCATGGATATTGGTACAAACTCACTTTCCTGAATAAGTAAGGTAACACATCATACAGCTGATGCAATTTTCCAATTTTAGCTATGAAGACAGAAACTCTTGCAAAAGAGTAGGACAGACTTGTGAAGAACAAGGTGCCTAAAGCTGGATTCATCAAACTACAGACCCTACAGCCTGCAGACAGCTGTCCTTCAGTTCCACATTCCCATCCCAAAACCAATGACAGCGGAAGGCTGCAACATGTTAAGTGGTCTGACTTGAAGTAGATATAGGTAAATGTCTAAGACTATGGCATTTCTCACTAATTAGCACCATTCAGTAACACCCAAATCTGATACATTCAAATCATGGTTGCATAGCATGATAAAAAATTCTAGGACCTCAATGCTGTGGTGGTATACCAAGACATATAGTGATAAAGAGAACAAGTATAAATTCATTCTTACTTGCACGTGGGGCATATCTGCACTGGGTGATGGAGTGCAGCACAGAAATCCAATGCTCCACGTGGCTGTGCTGTACAGATGAGTTCAACTAGGAAGGATGTACACCTTCAGCACTAGCTCATTGAGCTTAGATGCAGCACAGGTAACTAGCTCAGAGACAACACAGGTGTCCCTTGAGCCCTGCTGCAAATAGCTGTACAGAACTGTTTCCACTCTTCACCTCAAAGTACTCTTTCAATAGCAGGTGAACGGCCACTTTCTCCATTTCAGGCCAGGGAAAAAAAAGACAGAAAATCAAAGGACTTGCCTTGTAGTTCCACACCAGGCATAGAACTGAAGAGCAAAACTCAGGACGTCTGACTCCATTTCTCCTAGCACAGCTGCCTATCCGCACAAAATACTCCCATGGGTGTTTGGGAATTCCTACCAGGGACTTCTGGCAGCAAAGTATTGGTCATTTAAAAAATAACCTGTTTCTTACTCAAGGCATTGGACAAACATTTTCCAGAATGATTCAGCATGTGGGTAATTTATTTGCATTTGCACAAGGAATGCATTGTGGACATGGTATCCTCATTTTTCCTTAGCAAAAAAACCACCCACTCCTCATGTAGTATGGGAATAAAGAAAACCCTGGGCTCCATGACAGAAAAGACATGTTTGAAACAAGGAGTTTGCAGGTGTAAGAGCTGGGCTGTAAGTATCACACCGAGCAGTTAAACAGGCATTCAATTATGACCAATATTGACTATTTTATTTAAAGACAGAAAATTTGACTCTGCATTTTTCACTTGTATTCCAAGGTACCAGAACTGGAGTTTCCTTAAGTACTATGACCAAACAGTGAGTTTGGAAATGGACATTCAGCTGTATCCATGCTCTTTTTAGTTTTCATCAATTTGGGCCTAGGTTAATATTTCGAATTGAAGCTTACTTAGGCATACTTGGAAAATGCTTTATGACTAAACTCTTTAGGAAAAATAAAAGGAATTGAAGTGCCTTTCATCTCCTACCTATGTGTGTTCAATCTGTTTCAATGTTAACAACTCGGTAGAAAGACAAGTGCTAGAAAAACCAACTCCCTAGGAGAAAATTTGTAAGATAATGTCATCACTAAAAATGAAAGAAAAAACCTCCCACATCACAACCATTCTAGAGCAGGCTAACTTCTGTCCCAGATGACATTTTATTCAACATAATTTTAAAATTACTCATTTCCCTCTGTTATCCCATCATAAGATATCAGAAAAAACCAAACTATTGCTTTATGTTATTTCTACAAGTTTCATGTACACTCAATATGATATTTTTAAGTAAATTTAAATTGTAATTTCAAAAGCAAAAGCAGCTGGTATTATAAGTAAAAGTGCTGATATTATAAATAATTTCAGTAACTTGTATTTTTGTAAGAAGCAATGGATGTAATTTTGAAAACTTATTAATGGCCTTTGTTTTATCCAGGGTAAGAGAAAGGAGCTCAAGCCACTGCCAAACTATATAGCTGTGTTCTCAAGCAAAGTTCCCAATTTGACCAATCAAACTATCCTCAGTCAAATGAACACTGAGCTTGGCAGAGCTCTGGTATATGGATTATTTCTTCAGCAGTGGAGCACGAAAGAGGAAACTTGAGGGTGAGCTCCAACTTTCCTAGTGTTTCAGTAACAACAGAACAGTAACAAAGCAAGTTGAATGGTTCTACCTAAGCTGAATGGTTCTAGACACAGCATGAAAAAATTCCTCCATCTTTTCTACAGAGACCAACACTACTGTCTGGCACGGATTTTCTTTCAAGGGCAAAAATGGATGTTGTCCAGCAATGCTGTAGGAGATGAGTTTTCATTTTTGTTTCTTTAGATTTGCTGTTCTCAAATTTCCTTCTCTTACTCTTTTCTCTGGTTTAGCTGATAAAAACTCATTGACAAGGAAGCAGGCTTTCACATTTTGCTCTGAAGGCGTGTTGGCTCAGCAACCTGTCTTACACCCTCAGGACTGACAACCTTGAATTTAACAGGTTCACAGTCCCTAAAATCTGTGGTTGCCCAGGGAAACCATCATCAAGATAAATTGACACAATACCAAAAGCCTGTTCACTAGTGCCTCTTTATTACATAGGTTCAAACTTTATGACCTATTATTCTGTAAGGAAATATCAGCAAGCAGCAGAGTATGGAGAAGGTACACACAATACCTGCCTTTTGAACTGTGCATAGCTTCCATAGGATCATGCTCAGTTCTAGGTGGAGCTCAACACAGAATCCATTAGAATGGCCTCGACACAAAAGGCTGCAATCTCTCACCAGACCCAGGTGGAGATGAGTGCACTTATGTCTTGCAATTAAAGCTATTTTGTTTTTATGATTAGACTTCAGTGGCAGAAGGCAGCTCAGAAGCACAAGAGGTGACTGAGCACTGTGAGCACTGTGATCACAGATCCAAGTGGTTTCTGGAAAAAAAAAGGCACTGTAGAAAGAAGAGTCAAATCCCACTCACTGAAGTCACAATACCAAGTGGTTCTTCTCCTAATTTCCTCAACACAGTGAGAACTGGAAGATTAAGGCTTTTGAGATGACAGGTAAGTTATCTAAAGAAGGAACATCACATCATGCAATCAGCCCAAGTGAGGAGGACTGATTTCACTCTGTGCAGATATGAATTGTATTGGACAATTGAGTTCAGTTGGGACTGAAAAAGTAGGTTCCAAATGGGAACCTACTTTTTAAAACCGACATCTTCCAAATGGGAACCTACTTTTTAAAACAGACATATTTTCGTTCAGCTAAAAAGCTTTCTGCTCTCTCCTGTGAGAAGAAAACTGCACCAGGAACTCACTTGTTTTCACACATCTGAAAGTGGGAGAGCAGAGAGCAGATCAAGACTTTCCTTGTCCCTGTGCTGTCCAGGAGCTTCTTGAAAAACTGCCCAGTCCACTCAGAGGTTACATATTTATTGGACATTGCATAATACCGAGAGTCATTAGACTTGCATGCCTTAGTCTGAGATGTACTGAGCAGCTGCAAGTCTTTCTATGGGTCACAAACTCTACACTGAGTGGTGGATGTCCAGTATCTGTCAGGCTCAAGCTCCTACTCATGTAAGAATGTCTCATTTATAAAGCACAGGGATTTTGTTTTTCAGCATGAAAGCATACAGAGCTCCATGTTTCCTAACCTCCAGATGGCACTCACTCCACATCAAGTAATCCACCAAAAAAGGACACTAAGGCAGTATGACACAATTCCTTTTACATTTCAAGGGACATGAAATAATTCCAGATTCTTGACTCTGTTTACTGTGTATGAATCCAGAGAATCCTTCTCCCAGAGCGTTCCTGCAAACTGGAGGGTAAGAGGATGGTCTCAGCAGGGCACGATTTAATCCTCCCACTTCACTTAGAACTGGCATTGTTTCAACTGAAGCACTTCTCCTAGTTTTGCACAAGACTTTCCACATATTACCCTAAAGATGTGGGCCGCTAAGCAGAGTTTAAAGAAGCAGTGATGGAAACTGGAGTACGGGAAGACATGTTATATAAGGAAAGATTAAAACGACTGTTAAAAGTTTAACCTGAAGAAGAAAAAGCTGTCTTGGGAAGAGGGTAGCAGTCTTTTGATACATATATAACTCTAGAATGAGAAAATGAATCATTTTGCACTTTATGTGAGTGGCAGGTACCAGGAAAAATAACAAGCTTAAATTATAGCAAGGAAGAATCACGTTAACTTTTGGGAAAGCTAGTAGCAAGGATAATACAGCACTGGAATGGATTCCCTGAGGAATCTTCACCTTTGAAGGTTAAACACACACACCCATCAAGAGGGATGTATTTAACAGGGTTTATCTTTTACTGTATAAACTGAATCACTATCTAAAGAGCTCTTCACCAATTCTCTGTCTATACCAGAGCTGCTGGTATATACACTTTGCAAACATGATTTTTCAAACACATTCACAAAGAATTTTAAAAAAATCTATTTTAATTAAACCAGGTTTAAATAGATTTCATATCTAAAATACAGATTAATCACATAATTTTTTTGATTGAAATATATTTCTAATCCTTCTCATGACTCATAGAAGATGCTTTTCACAAAGTCTAGTTGTGTCTCTTTTAATCACATACATCTGAGAGGCTTGTTTAGTGCCCTCCTGACAACCACATAAGGACATTTCTCTAGTTCCCCGTTGAAATCAATAGCAACTCTTAAGCACTCTGACATCTTCATGATTAAGGGGAAAATGTCTAGAGAACCAAAGTTGCCCACATGGAATAGATGAGATAACCTGTGTGATATGGGAAAATTGTGTTGAACTGGACACCTTATTTTGTTCAATTACTACACTTTCCCTGGAAATGTAAATTATTTTACGCTACTGCAATTAGCTCTCCTCTGATACCCACCATTACATTTCCAAAGTTAGTTTGGGTCTCTCTACCATGCGCAGCAACCTTCAGA